AATTTTACATGTCTATTATGGTTCATAAACTGCATTAAAACCTAACAATGGGTCCATAATTTTCTCTTCCATGTGGCTGTTATGTTCAGTTCAATTCAATTCAATTGTTTATTACTTATGTGCCAAGTCAACAGCCGCAAGGCCAATTACAGACAGAGCACAGGGTAGATACAAGTAATTACATTATGGACAAACACTACATAAAGTCAAAGACAAATTACAGGCAAGCACTGGAGGAAAACTCAATAATGCAGACAAGTAAACAAACAACAATAATAATAATAATAATAATTTGATTAACATAAATCAATAATGCAGACATAATAATCTTAACTTAATTTCAGAAAATATAAAATTCTACCCCCACAAAATGTTATGCAACTTGAAGAGTTCCTTCCTTTTTATGATGCTGGAAACAGAATTGACCTGATGGAATTATGACGGTGGGAACATGCACACCAAAAACTACATCATTTTTTTACCACAACTGACAACTGAAGCATGTGCCAATCGCATGTATTGTGACTTGAAAGGGAGTAGACTGGGGAAGGAAATGTGTTAATATAAAACATACAGTGGTGCCAAATGTAGCAGTGTGGAATGCTGGTTTTCAGCAAATTCAAATCTTTTTTTTTTCAAATGTGTTTGCAAAGAGCAAAGAGCCTATACTGACTGACACATATTTACAACCTTTGATTCTATATGGGTAGAGCAAATGGGCATTAAGAAGGCCTCAGACTGAAGGGTTTTTGCTCCAGCTAAGGTCAAAGATCTTCAAGAGCCTGATAAACAGTGAGGGCATACTATGGACCCAGGATAGGTCTTAGTGCTTGGGGAAAATGGAAGTTGTCCACCCTTGTCAACAGTCAATACCTCCACACCCCTTAAACATCTTCATATCATGGTGCACAGACAAACACATGCACACACTAATTCATAATGTGAGTAAAATGATCATTTGATATAGAACTGAAATTTCAATTCTGGGTAAATTATGTAAATAGTCAACACAATAAAAAAAACACTTAAAATAACAGAAGAATGCCATCACTAACATACTTGTGGAATATGCCCATGTATATAATAGCTGAATAAAAGAACATTTTGTCAATGAACAAGTGAAGAAATGTTATTCCAAAACCAATTACGATTTTAACCATTTCTGAATGAAGCCCATTTATATCAAGATAGGTAACATGTTCAAACAAAAGAAATTACCCATTCTATATAGTTCTTGTTTGTAGGTTTCATATGACATCAGAAAGACACTGGTCATTTTTATTAGCCTATCTTCCTTATTTTGATAAAATAAAAGTAGGTTTATCAGATTACCATGCGGTCTGTGTGCCTGTGTATCCCCCGCCCCCATTAACTTTTGAATGCCTGCCCAATCTTTATGAAACTTGGTTATGTACATCATGGCAGCTGAGCCCATCTCTTCATAAATTTCTCCCATCAGACTATGTATCTGTACATGTAAGAGGCTTGTCCACAAAGTAAGTTTCCCTGCAGGAGACTTGCTGTCCGTCGAGCCGTGTGCAGCCTAGTGTTATCGTGCAGGAAGACAATACCGGCACTAAGCATCCCGCGCCGCTTGTTCTGAATGGCCCCATCACGATTTCTGCAGTGTTTCACAGTAACGCTCAGCATTCACCGTCTCACCTCTGGTCAGGAAGTTGACGTGTCTGTCTCACAATACCCTGCACATCACTTTCCGCGCCGACGTCTGCTTGAATTTCGTCTTGCAGGGAGTTCCACTGTGACGCCAATGCATTGACTGCTGCTTGGTTTCTGGGGTAATGTGTGCAATCCACGTTTCATCACCTGTGATGATCCAGTCCAGAAACTTGTCGCCGTCATCATGGTACCACTGCAGAAATGTCAATGCTAACTCCATGCGCTTTGTTTTGTGTTCTGGTGTCAGTTGCTTCAGCACCCACCTGGCGCACAATTTCCTGAACAACAGGTGCTCTGTGTCAATTTCGCACAACAAGGAGCGGGAAATCTGCGGGACATGACTGCTGAGTTCCGTAATTGTGATGCGACAATTCTCCATAATGCGTTCCCGCACAAGCTCCACCAGGTCGTCTGTAATGATGGATGCCCGCCCACTGCACTTCTCATCATGCACACTTTGTCGACCTGCTGAAAACTGTCTGCACCAGTGAACCATCTGCTTGCTCATGACATTACCCCGGCACAGGTGATGATGAATTTCGATTGGCACTATGCTCTGTGCATTCAAAAACTTTATCACTGACCGCACTTCACAGTCGGCGGGAGCTGGAATAAGAGCCTCCATCTTCAACAGCTGCAATGATGCTACTGTGGGAACGCAGGAAATTCCGTTAGTGCATGTGCCATGCTACGTCATTGCTCCATCACGTATGTGCAGTTGCTTCGCACAATATAAGGTTTGCTAGCTGTGGGACGAGTGGGAAACTTACTTTGTGGATGTGCTACGTATCCCCCATTACTGCTAGGCAATGGCTCAGTAAAAAACATTACCGTGGCAACAAATACAAGCAACAAGAGAAGAACTGTTGGATTCATCATTTTCTGTTCAGTCCATGTCATATCAAAGAAAAGTTGGCAATCAGTTCTTCCTGGAACTTCTTGTTATGCTTTAATTTTAACTGATGGCATGTTTGATAATCAGTGACTATGAGCCCCTTTTCAAGGACACTTCATACACACACCTAATATATGTGGATGGGGAAACATGACACAGCACATACCTTTAGAAGTGATGTCCTCAGATTCTTCACCATTAAGAATGCCATCTGTAGTTTCATTATGTTCATCTTTAATATCTTCAGAAGATCCCTGCCTTTTCCTTGGATGATGAGAGCCTTTAGCAGTTTTTGTTTCTAACTTCAATGTATACTCCCCTTGGCTGTCTGTTTCCTTTTGTCTTAGCTCTTCAGTCTTCGGCACTTTATCACCACTCCCAAACAAGTCTGATGTGCTTAAGTTATGAACTGATCGTACACCTAGGTATTGATTTAATATAACATTGTGAATATTTTTCGGTCTACAAAGCATGCTCTGGTGCAATTTTCTTACTAGAAAATGCTTTTTATTATTACAACTAATTCCTCTATCACTTAAATATGAAACAATGTTGCAGTGTTTTGTAATTTCCATAGTTGGTTCATGGCACAAACACAGGTTGATAGAGCTCGGAAGAGTATTCATGAACTGGCCATTCACAGTTATATTTTTTTCCAGTAGCCTCTCTACCAAATATTGAGATTCCTTACTCTGCGACTTCTTCATCAGCACCTTTCCAAGAGTCCTGCAGCAGAATATTAAAAACGAATATATCCTCATTTACAAGATTAAGAGAAAAGTGCCTGAAATTAAATAAGGCATGGAAGGTTGGCACATAGATAACAGATGTCTTCCAAACATGCTTTTTGTCAATCTGCAGTTCTCTACAATCCTGATGTGCAACCTGTGTTGAAGGGAGCTTTACAATTAATGTGGCAGAAAATATAATATAACAGTGCACTTAAAACATTTTCATTACTCATGTTTCACAAGCAAGGAATGTCTCAAAGGTCTTTAGGGGGAGGGGGCCTAGGAACACTTTCAAACTGGCTCACAGCACTACATTAAGGTTGCAACAACATAAATTCAAATTACATAGTTCCAAGGTTTTTGTGGTGGTGAATATTAAGACTGTAGTCTTCTGGCTTGTGACCCCATGTAGTCTTTTGTGTGGACAGGGACATTTTTGGGGAACATGCTACCTGCAGATTTCTTTCCTTCATTCCTTCCAATTGGTTTTAACATCCTTATCAGTCATACCTCAATCTACAACTTCTTGACTCAAAAAGTTCTGGACTTACTCTCAAATTAAATTAATGCACATTAGACTTATGCTCTAAAAGTTTAACTTTATTCATTCTGGCCCATCACACTACTGCTCTCTCTATTCGCAACGCAATTCACCTGCCCTGAAGATGGAGGCGATACGTTCCTCCGAAACGTCGGTTCAAACAAAGAATACACGGCGCCAGATCCCAGAGGACAACTTTCTTCTATATATAGAATGATTTGACAACACTGTCCAGTGTGACTCATTATATATTTATATAGGGCTTTTACATGTTTCAGTCAGTTGTGACCCTCTTCAGAAGGCAATAACAACATCTTAAGGAACTACTATTACATATATCATAGTATACGAGCTTAAAGTTTTGTATGTTGACATACTAACACACCAGTCATACTTGAACGGCTTCATCAAATTTAACTTTATTCATTCTGGTCCGTCACACAGGTAGGAACACACAACATACAAGGTGGTTCAAATATGACCAGAACTGATTTGTGTGTAAACAAGCCGTACTGCGCGGCAGCTGTGCAACCTTGAGAGACTGAAGCCACAACCTCCACCCTCCCTCCTGTTCAGTTTAGAACCTGTTCAGTCCTGTCTGGGAGTTGTTACAATGATGAGCGAACAGAAGGTACCGCGGAGCGTGGAACAACGCATTGTGATCAAATTCCTCGGAGAGAACATCCCATCCGCTGAAATTCACCACAGACTCCAACAACAGAATGGGGAAGAGTGTCTCTCATAGACCCATATGTTTGAGTGGTGTANAGTGCATGTGCCATGCTACGTCATTGCTCCATCACGTATGTGCAGTTGCTTCGCACAATATAAGGTTTGCTAGCTGTGGGACGAGTGGGAAACTTACTTTGTGGATGTGCTACGTATCCCCCATTACTGCTAGGCAATGGCTCAGTAAAAAACATTACCGTGGCAACAAATACAAGCAACAAGAGAAGAACTGTTGGATTCATCATTTTCTGTTCAGTCCATGTCATATCAAAGAAAAGTTGGCAATCAGTTCTTCCTGGAACTTCTTGTTATGCTTTAATTTTAACTGATGGCATGTTTGATAATCAGTGACTATGAGCCCCTTTTCAAGGACACTTCATACACACACCTAATATATGTGGATGGGGAAACATGACACAGCACATACCTTTAGAAGTGATGTCCTCAGATTCTTCACCATTAAGAATGCCATCTGTAGTTTCATTATGTTCATCTTTAATATCTTCAGAAGATCCCTGCCTTTTCCTTGGATGATGAGAGCCTTTAGCAGTTTTTGTTTCTAACTTCAATGTATACTCCCCTTGGCTGTCTGTTTCCTTTTGTCTTAGCTCTTCAGTCTTCGGCACTTTATCACCACTCCCAAACAAGTCTGATGTGCTTAAGTTATGAACTGATCGTACACCTAGGTATTGATTTAATATAACATTGTGAATATTTTTCGGTCTACAAAGCATGCTCTGGTGCAATTTTCTTACTAGAAAATGCTTTTTATTATTACAACTAATTCCTCTATCACTTAAATATGAAACAATGTTGCAGTGTTTTGTAATTTCCATAGTTGGTTCATGGCACAAACACAGGTTGATAGAGCTCGGAAGAGTATTCATGAACTGGCCATTCACAGTTATATTTTTTTCCAGTAGCCTCTCTACCAAATATTGAGATTCCTTACTCTGCGACTTCTTCATCAGCACCTTTCCAAGAGTCCTGCAGCAGAATATTAAAAACGAATATATCCTCATTTACAAGATTAAGAGAAAAGTGCCTGAAATTAAATAAGGCATGGAAGGTTGGCACATAGATAACAGATGTCTTCCAAACATGCTTTTTGTCAATCTGCAGTTCTCTACAATCCTGATGTGCAACCTGTGTTGAAGGGAGCTTTACAATTAATGTGGCAGAAAATATAATATAACAGTGCACTTAAAACATTTTCATTACTCATGTTTCACAAGCAAGGAATGTCTCAAAGGTCTTTAGGGGGAGGGGGCCTAGGAACACTTTCAAACTGGCTCACAGCACTACATTAAGGTTGCAACAACATAAATTCAAATTACATAGTTCCAAGGTTTTTGTGGTGGTGAATATTAAGACTGTAGTCTTCTGGCTTGTGACCCCATGTAGTCTTTTGTGTGGACAGGGACATTTTTGGGGAACATGCTACCTGCAGATTTCTTTCCTTCATTCCTTCCAATTGGTTTTAACATCCTTATCAGTCATACCTCAATCTACAACTTCTTGACTCAAAAAGTTCTGGACTTACTCTCAAATTAAATTAATGCACATTAGACTTATGCTCTAAAAGTTTAACTTTATTCATTCTGGCCCATCACACTACTGCTCTCTCTATTCGCAACGCAATTCACCTGCCCTGAAGATGGAGGCGATACGTTCCTCCGAAACGTCGGTTCAAACAAAGAATACACGGCGCCAGATCCCAGAGGACAACTTTCTTCTATATATAGAATGATTTGACAACACTGTCCAGTGTGACTCATTATATATTTATATAGGGCTTTTACATGTTTCAGTCAGTTGTGACCCTCTTCAGAAGGCAATAACAACATCTTAAGGAACTACTATTACATATATCATAGTATACGAGCTTAAAGTTTTGTATGTTGACATACTAACACACCAGTCATACTTGAACGGCTTCATCAAATTTAACTTTATTCATTCTGGTCCGTCACACAGGTAGGAACACACAACATACAAGGTGGTTCAAATATGACCAGAACTGATTTGTGTGTAAACAAGCCGTACTGCGCGGCAGCTGTGCAACCTTGAGAGACTGAAGCCACAACCTCCACCCTCCCTCCTGTTCAGTTTAGAACCTGTTCAGTCCTGTCTGGGAGTTGTTACAATGATGAGCGAACAGAAGGTACCGCGGAGCGTGGAACAACGCATTGTGATCAAATTCCTCGGAGAGAACATCCCATCCGCTGAAATTCACCACAGACTCCAACAACAGAATGGGGAAGAGTGTCTCTCATAGACCCATATGTTTGAGTGGTGTAAGTGCTTCAGAGGGGGCGGAGAGTGAGTGGAGAATGAACGGCATAATAGTCGGCCGCGAATATCCGTCACCGAGGCAAACATTGATCACGGAGACACGCTTATTCGTAACAATAGGCGCATCACTATCAAGGAACTTGGAGCAATGCTGTCCATCGGTGTTGGTAGTGTAGAAGACATTGTGAAATACCACCTGCACTATTGCAAGGTGAATGCATGGTGGGTACGATGCACTTTGACGGACGTGAACAAAATGGTGTGCATGCAAGCTGCCAGTTGTCTCCTACTGCAGTTTGAAGACGAAGGTGATGCATTTTTGAAGTCTATAGTGACCCCCGATGAAACATGGGTGCACTACTTCATTCCCGAGTCCCAGCAGTCATCACACGAGTGGCGGCATACCAGTTCTCCTAAACCCAAGAGAGCGCGGAGGAGCTGTCTGGCAGGAAAAGTGATGGCAACGTTCTTCTGAGACTGGCGGGGGGGTTATCCATGTAGACTTTCCGACAGATGCCAGAACAGTCAATGCAGCTTATTACTCAGACCTCCTAGCAACAGATGTGAAGGAAACGGTCCAATCCAAGCAGAAGACAGGTGGAAAGCGGGTAGCCTTCCTTCAAGACAATGCACGCACCCACGCGGCCAAAACAACAATGGAAACCCTCCAGAAACTGAAATGGAACCTTCTGACACATCTGCCGTACAGTCCAGGTTTGGCCCCAAGTGATTTCTACCTGTTCGGAAGGCTCAAATCAGACTTTCAAGGCATGTGGTTTGTGGACAATGACGCCATCATCCAGACTGTTCGGGAGTGGATATGCTGCCAACCACAAGCCTTTTTTGAAAAGGGCATCAGGATGCTTCCAGAACGTTGGAAAAAATGTGTTGACTCTGGAGAGAAGTACATTAAAGACTGGAGAGAAGTACATTGAAGACTGACATGGCAATGATGGTTTAAAAAAAAAAAATCAGTCCTGGTCATATTTGAACCACCTTGTAGAACTCAAATAAAAATTACAGTCAAAGAAATATTAAGTACATAAATTTTTATATAAAATATCCATAATATAATTGCAGATCTTTAAACAATCATATAAAAAAGAGGGGAAACAAAGCTGCTTGGATGGCAAATAACACCCCAATCTCCCATTTTCACAGAAGAGTCATGGAGACATAAACCTCAGTAGTTCAAGATTTTAAATATTAAGAACATAAATAATATATGTTTAACTTAATTGAAAATCTTTATACAGTGGGGGTTAAAATCAGTTTGAGCTTTAAGATTCAAGAACTTCATCCAATTCGTCCCATGTTATATGAACTCACAATTTTCTGACTTATGATCCCTTTTGGGGAATGCATTAAGTTGTAAGTCTGTGGTACAAGCATATAACCAAGTCTATTTCTGAACCTACAAACTTCAACCCTGAAGATGGTGGCAGTATGTTTCCCCAAAACATCAGTATCCACACATAGAACAAAACTACATGGTGTCACGTTCCAGAAGACCATAACATATCTTTCCTATATGTGTATGTGGTTTCATTTTACAATGCTGTCCGAGGTTTTTGTGGCAGTAAACTTGAAAATTACTGTCTTTTGAGATGCAACACAATTTACTACCATGTATTCTAGTTGAAAGGCAACTTTCTACTGGACTACAAAGCATCACATCCAAGCCAAAAATAATCTTTGCACATCATTCCTGTGTACTAATTAAGCACTACAGTATTAAGATGTATGGGGGAGTGGATGCATAGATCCACATATTTTTGACCTCAGCACTAGCTGGTGAGTGGTCAGCTTCATGCCTCAGACACTTCAATCCCGGGGAAAAAGCGCCCAGTACTCACTGCATAGGAGGCTGGGTGGGCCCCAGAAAGAGTTAGGATGACATGGATAATCTGTCATAAGGTTACAACAGTGTTATAGAAAGGAACATTTCTGAATCCTGTTTTGTCTTTTTTAATCTAAATTTTAACTCATTACTTATGTGCCCTTAATTTCATGCATATAAGAACAGGAGACATGACCTGAACATTTACAACTTCATGTTAATAATAACATACAGACCATAAAACTTATCTAAGTTAGCAAACTAACTCCCCATCCCCGACCTCGTACCTGCCACCAGAATAACTGTTCAATTTGCACTTTTACTATCCAATTAAAATATAAGATTCTAATTTACAGGGATAAATTTTAACTTCTGAGAAAGCCAAAATCCTTTCCAAACATGCATTACATTCCTCAGGGTATCGCTGGCATTAACATTGGCTGCTAGTCCCACCACACCAGAAAATTATACATTTTTAATAAGGAAAAATGTTTTTAACTATCTACCACCACTATCTACATGAGAAATCAACTTACCTTAGATGCGCAGACCATTCAGGACAGAGAATACTTTCCCTAAAACCATGGATATTAAGATAAAAATTGTACTTTATCTTCATGTCTTCTCTTGCAGTTTGTGCAGAACCTGATCAGAAATGTTGCTCAAGAACACTTTGAACTGCACCAGTGTAGATTCAACTGTGTCAGAAACAATGTCTGGAAAGAATTTAATAATGCTTACATTTTTTTACACTAATTACAAATTACATAATTACACAATATATTTCAGAAAATGATTTCCATTAGTACAGACTCTCTCCAGGCACAAGTTATGAAACAACTTCAATATAATGTGCCATCATCACATTTTAATTAATACAAAACACATGTATATATGTTTCATACCAATTTCTTTCTTTTCAATTATAGTGGTTCATTATTTTTTGCCATAACATAGAAAGCATTCAACATAACATTATTTACATTCTACAGAAGTTACCCGACATTAAAAGTTGGGGGGGGGAGGTCTTTACTAAGTAAGATTTCACTGCAATTTAGTATATTAAGGGTTAGAAGAGGACGTTTAATTTTTTATGCCCTTCTGTGGTAGGTGCAGCGAAGTGTAACATTAATTTTGATCATACACCAAAGAAAATTGTCATTTTAACTTCTAATGTTATAAAAGGTGTCACAAAACTTTGTGGGATGTTGATGTTCTAAAAGACAACCATGTAAAACTGTAACAATTGTACAGGATGTTCCTAAAAGAATGGTGGGATTTCATTGCCGTATATCTCCATCAGCTTTTTTCTGATGAAAAGTAAAACGTATACGGATTCATAACATGGCTCTCAAATTTTCATTTTGTATATCACACTCTTTCCTAGTTCCATTTCCGACAGTTAGGCAAACGATGGATTGGACGTGCTGCAGGTGAAGATGCCCCCTTTCTCAAGTGGCCACCCCGGTCCCCGGGCATAACTCCACTTGATTTCTTCTTGTGGGGGTATGTCAAGGACATGGTTTATGTACCCCCATTGCCCCAAACACTCTAGGATCTCCGAAACAATCAATCGTGCTGTGGAGACCATCACACCTGAAATGCTGCAGCGGGTGTGGCAGGAATTGGACTATCGCATTGATGTGTGCCGGGTAATGAAAGGGGCGCACACAGAGGCACTTTGATGGATGCACATAAAATTTGGACAGTTAAGCTTCTGATTGACGCATGTTATGATTGTACACGGAAAGAAATACGAAATATATATGTATCTGAAACCCCACCATTCTTTTAGGAACATCCAGTATATATCATAGTGTATGTATTAAATGTACAGAATAGCTGCAGAGCTATGTGGAATGTAGACGTTCAAAAGTTTGCTGGCCCTGAAGAGGGCAGTTTGTTCAACTGTGTGTGTGCTGGTAGTTTGCTATGCAGCAGACCGGGTCTTTAGGGCCGTTCAGCTGGTCTGGCCAGCTGGTGATGTGGTGCTGCGTGCGCCGGTACGAACAGCTGCCTATGGTGCGGACGATGACAAAGCTGTTGTCTTGGCGTGGTTGCTGGAGAGCTGTTGCTACTTCGTGACATCAGAGTAGCTGTGTTAGCTGTCTATGTTGTAGTGAGGACGATCGAAGAACTGATGATAGCGAGCTTTGAGCTCCGCCTTTTATACCATGCTTGTTCGGCAAAACTAAAATTGCGCTTGCGATTGTGAGTGCTGATTGGCTAGCGCACGTGATGATCTACAGGTGGGCTGGACATCGAGTGCTGTATAAATATATGTGCTGGCCACAATGTGACACTGACTAGGCTTGAGCAGAAGTTGAATGCTGTCTGTTAGGCAGACGAAGCTGCATGTTGCTCATAGTATGTGGGGGTTCCCACAACTTTATGTCATAACGGCAGGAGGTAACTCCTGATGTCATTCCAAATGGAAAATGTCATATCAATGTGGATCCTATTCTCAGTGGTTCTGGAGGTATGAGTATTTGAAATGTAGCACATGTGCACAGCAGTCATGATTTGTTCATGCAAGCCAGCACACCAATTGCCCGTGAATAGCTTGGTCACTGCATTCACCAGATCTCAGGGCCATAGATAATGATGAATGTGTCACATCAAAAACACAATGTACGAATGCAAGGAGGACACAAGAGATGAACTATTTCACAGAAAATCTCACACCGCAGAATACATTAAAAGTGCTGCAATTCTTTGTAAAGTTACATGTTCCAGAGTGAAACAAAGTGGTACATCCAAGCTGATGGGCATTCTGAAAATCATCTTAAGCTAAGAAAACTGTACAATGTAATTATTTTATCTATAGCCCAATAAGAATGTCCTTCCCCCACTAACAAATTCCTTCAAGTCAAGCTACATTTCCATTACCCATAGCTCTGAAACCCTTGAGAATAGGACCAATGTTTATGTAACATTCTTCACTCAGAATGAGCTCATGAATCACCTCCTGAAATTATGCCACACTCACAGAACACATCTGCATGACAGAATATGCTAGTAAGGCCAAATTTACTTCCTATACTGAGGTAATACGATAAGACATTAACACATACAAAGAAAATACATAAAAATATACCTGCATGAAGTTGTCTTTATGCCTAATTCCCACACCACAAAAGATTTAAGGGGGCATGGAAATAGATTTCTATTCATTCTAGACTAGTCAAAGGTGAGAGGTCAACTTCAAGCTCATGTATATTCACCCCTAGGAAAAGAAACCCTGGGGTGGCTCTAGTCATAAAAGAAAAAAGTAAAGCTATCCCTGTACCAGGCCATGAAGGCCCATAGGGTTGTTAGACGTTGAGGCTCCCACATTATCTAGACAATCAGCTCAAAGATGGCAGTAAGGTTGTCAGCCTTATGTGCCGGCCGCACTTTACTCCCCAGGAAAATTATTTAATTAATTCCTGGTACTCGTTTCTGTTAGAGGCTGAGTAAACCTCAGAGCCTAGTGCGGCTGGAAGGACTAGGTCAACTGAAGAAATCCAATGACCTCATCGGGACTTGAACCCGCAAGCTTCTGGCTTGTAGCATAGCCCCTCAACCAACTACGCTACCGCGTACCCCCGGCTCTAGTCATTCCAAACATAATTAATTCCATTGGGCATAATCATCCATGAGAAGCTCATGTAATCAATAAATTCCTCACCCATTAACTTTTATTATTACGCACAATAGATCGCTGTGGTCACGGTGCAAGGGCCAAGAAGGCCCACCGCTTAAACATTCAACTTTTATTATCCAGGAATAGGAATGTTAAATCTCCTAATACTATAGTCACCTTATCATTAGCTAGATTAAGCCAGTGCACATCTTCACAATCTGTTTCTATAAAACATGCTGTAACATTAGCTTCCCATCTGCACCTACAATTTTGCATGCATCTCTCTCATGCGTGCTATATAACAACCAAACTCATCCTGCTTGATTTCATCAACCAGATAACATACTTGGTGAAAAGCACAAATTCTTAAGCCCTCATTATACTACTGTCTCCAGCCTCTTGCTACTTTTGTTTGCCTTAGATCAAAACCTTCTCAACAGCCTGTTCTCAAATACCCCCAATTTACATTCTCCCATTAGAATGAGCATCTAAGTTTCACACCCATATAAAACAACAGGTAATATTAGTTCTGTGACTTTCATTTTTTGGTTATTAGATCAGGAGACAGGGAAAACAAAATATTCTGAATGACAGTATGCATTCAAGGAATTTATTGTGCCCTTAACCTGCTATAACACACTTTCCTATTATCTGTATTGAATGCTGATGTTAGGTTATTCTTTCATTACATTCCATCATTACCAGCACCAGTAATGCAAGACCATTTTAGAAACCACTCTTAAATGGTGTCATGTGGTGTGGCTAGTTTGTTCTCTTCACTTAAGTTTGAAGAATTTGTGTGAGACAAATAAGAAAACATTCTGCTGATTATAAAAAAGATGGAACTATTAAAAACAGTTACATCTGATGGAATTATACTTTTTTATATATTACTAGAGTATTTTGGCCAAGATGTGCTTTGTAAAGTCTCTTCTTATTTGAAAATGACCTCATTTTTTAATGCGTTATTACCTACAACCCCAGATGATAATACCACTGAAAGATGATTTTTAAAATTTAGATACAGTGGCATATATACCTGTTCTTAGGAAATGACCACAAAACAAGCAACTATACAACCACTGCTAAGTAACGGCTCCACAAAAAGCAAGTTTCCACAGCAAAGAGGGAACACGGCATTAGCAGATGAGATGTCTTCTAAGTGGGACATGCCATGATATTATAACCAGGAACAGACAGCAGTTGCAGTCAGAGAACTGCTGGAGTTCAGTTGTTGTGAGCCATTGCTATTAGAAGCTGGTGGCTGAGGCCAAGGACAGTTCAGGAACCCAGAGGAAGGGGAACGTCTGCCACTGGAACCCACTACCATGCAACGATAGACAATACAAATGTATTATCAGGGCATGATGTGTACATCACTTTCCGTTCAATATTACTGTGCAATACAACGTTAAAACAGAACAACAGCCTGGAGACTTGCATGCTTACATTTAAGAAATGTAACACTGAATATGAAAAAGGGCAAAGTATTGGCACTTAACCTTCTTTCATTGGAGTCCCTTCCCTCGCTGATGTACATATTCCGCCATGCTTGCATCATGTTCAAATGCAGCCCTTTTTTTAACATGTCAACGATCCTGGCACAGTAACACTATCCAGGTAAATAATTTAATTTCTATGTCACACTGGACAACATTTCACACTTATTTCCGGATATTCTCACACAATTTACATAATGATCCTCACATATTGGTAGTAAAGAACGTAAAGAAAGATCTTCAACAAAACGTGACTTACGTACAATCTAACCAACAAAAAGTGGCTCCTCATATAAGTCGGGCAAGACTTTCCTGGTCCCCAGGTTCTTAAAATACACCGCTGTTTCGGAGGAACGTAGCATCTCCATATTCACCGTCGATGAGTAAATGATCAAAAAATTAACTGCGAGAGCGCTCACATTTGGTACAGCGGTTAGTACCTGGTTCCAGACATCTTGCAACACCCAGTCCAAGTTCAAAATCTTCAAAATAGTACAGAGTGGAGAACGTGGAGAAGTTGCATTGCATACAGAGACAGAGTGTACAGACGTGCGATGTACCACCAGTCACCTGTGAACAGTCCCTGACAACTCAGTGTTATTGGCTGGAAAGCAAACCCTGTGACTTCTTGTAAGCATGCTGCCACCTATATTCCAATGCGTGTCAATCGCTTCAAGAATGGCCACCGCAAGTGCCGAAAGCACGATCGGTAACAAGGCTGTCCTCGTCCCTTGGTTATTAATATTTCGACATGTACCAGATAGAAACCGCAGCTCTTCCATTGTTCTCCAACTGTTAAATTATGATTATTTATTTATTTATTTCGTCACTGTAGATCATTGTACATGATATAGGACAAGTCAAGTTAATTCTGAATATTAACAATTTAATATATGAGTAAGATTAAAATTACAATAGTTACAATTGTTTACAGTTGATTACAATTTAGAATTAGTTAGATATTCTTATTTGTGGAGAATTTGATGGAATGAAGATTGGCAGGGGAAACCGAAGTACTCGGAGGAAACCTGCACCAGCGCCACTTTGTCCATCACAAATCCCACTTGCCCAGATCGCAGTGGTGGGAAGCCAGCGACTAATCGCTTAAGCTATGGTGTGGCCTTAGAATAATGATCTGGATAGCTAGTGTAATGTTCGCTGCAGATTGGTGCCCTTCTTGATGGCCTGGTATTCTCGATCTCTCTCTAAGCGGCCTACGTAGACGTCCCTCCATCACATGATGTCCTTTCTATCACATATCCAACATGGTGTCTTGATTCCTTTAAGCAGAAGAGAACTGCGCAGTATACATTCATAGCATGCTGGTATAAGCTCAACAAGTCACTTATTCTTGAATTATCTGGTCATATTGATGTTAACTAGGGTTTATCCCCAAACAAGAAAAACTCATCTATACTATAAAAACAGTGTTCAAGTAGAAATGTTTTCAAAGTCTTTTTAAATTTATATAGTGCTGGTATATCTTTTATATATTGTGGCAAGTGGTTTAAAAGACGAAGTCCAATATTATTGAAGTTGTTTTTACACATACTCGTCCTACATGGAACTATGAATAAGTTGTCTTTCTTTCTTGTATTGTGTGAGTGTACTGCTGAATTAGTAATGAAAACATTCAAGTTGGATTTCATGTAAACTAATATTTCATATATATACAAACATGGTAGAGGTAATATATGTAACAATTTAAAATATTGTTTGCAGCTGGTGGTTTTTTGTATTTGCATTATAGCTCTAATAGCTCTCTTTTGTATCTTAAAGATCAATTTTGCATTCGCTGAATTGCCCCAGAATATCAATCCATATGATAGCAGGGATTGAAAATACACATAGTATAAAGTGAGAACTGTCTCTAATCCTGATACTTTTTTGACTATTCGTAAGCCAAAACATATTTTACATAACTTACTTGCTAGTGTTTGAGTATGTGTGGACCACCTTAATTTTTTGTCTAACCACACTCCCAAAAATTCTGTATGTTCTGTATAACTGATGACTTTATCATATAGTTTTATTGATGGGCATTCTGGTTGTCTCTTTTGTGGTTGGTGAAAGGATATTGCTATCGTTTTTTCTTTATTAATAATTAATCTGTTATTTTCAAACCACTCTGTGAGTTTATTTATTGTTGCATTTATTTTCCTTTGGACAACATTAACACTATTTCCTGATATAAAAATACTTATATCATCGGCAAAAAACGTTAGTTTTCCTTGTTCAATACCTGCTTCTAGATCATTAATATATAGCAAAAATAAAATTGGTCCAAGAACAGAACCTTGTGGGACTCCATGTCTTACGGGTCTACTCTGAGATAGATAGTTAATGCTTACATTAGCTTCTCTACATCTATATGTGATTTCCACTTTCTGTTCTCTTCTTTCTAGATATGTTTGAAACCATTTTAGTGCAACCCCTCGTATTCCCATTCTTGTCATCTTTCTTAGCAATATGTCATGATTAACTAGGTCAAACGCTTTTGACAGATCCAGAAATAACCCTATACTTATTTCTTTCTCATCTAGCGATTTATAGACCCATTCTATGAACTCTGCAATTGCTGTTTTTGTTGTTTTCCCTTTGCAGAAACCATGCTGTTTGTTATTAATTATACTGTGGTTATTTATAAAGGATAAGTCTTTTATGCATAATTTTTTCAATTATTTTTGAAAAAACAGAAATTAGTGATACTGGTCTATAATTCGCAACATCCGTTTCGCTTCCTTTCTTATACAAGGGTTTCACTTTTGCTATTTTTAGCTGGTCAGGGAAGTATCCGGTTGAGAGTGACTGATTTATTGTATATGTTAAGGCAGATATTATCCTGGGATAGCATTTTTTAATGATATACTCTGGGATGTCATCTATACCTGTTGATTTTTTGTTACCAAGTCTTTTAATTATGCCAACCACTTCCTCTTCAGTAGTTGGGGTTAAGAACATGCTGTTGTTGTTATATTTTACTGCATTGTCATTAGCTTCTTTGTTTGTAGATGATTTGTCATTTAAGATTTTTTGTGCAATGCTAGTATAATATTCATTGAAAACATTAGCTATGATTTTTGGATCCTGTATATTTTTTCCATCAGTGTTCATTTCAATATTTTTTTCCAACTACCTAGCTCCTCCTTGATTAGGTCCCACATAGCCTTTGATTTGTTCCTGGAAGTTCTTATTTGTATGTTATTGGATAATTTTTTTTGCTTCACTGATCACTTTGTTATAAATTTTCTTGTACTGACCATAGTATTTTTTAAATTCTTCTGAAATATTCCCTTCTTTCATTAGCCTATTAAGAAATTGGAGTCTATTTCCTGATACCCTTATACCTGAGGTAATCCATTTGTTTTCATGCTGTTTACTTTTTACCCATTTTTTTGGTATTGCTATTTCATAATAATACTGAAAAGTATCTAAAAATTCATTATATGCATTGTTCGCTGATTTTTGTTTAAAAACAAGCTCCCAAGTCTCTTTGTCTAGTAGATAATTTAGATATTGATATTGAAGAATCTGCTGCCTAGTGACTCGAACGTGTTTACCGAACCTTGTCAAAAAACAGCCCTGGTAAATCTGCCCATCTCGCGGTCGTTGCATAGCAACGGCTATACACACTACATTGCTCCCTCCTTACGGCTATTCATCCGAATAACTGACAGGTGTAATGCTATTTCTTCATTTCCAATGGCTGTTTTTGCAAAGTCTGTGCTCGGTCTCACCATGTTCCCATGGCTCAGTTTTCAAAGTGTTTATTCCCAACTGCTCCCACTGCTCCCTCCTTAAGACTGCTTGTCCCGAGCGATTCCTTCCTAAGGTGCTAGTCGGTCCAGGTTTATTTATTTATTTATTTCGTCTCTATAGAACATTGTTGCATGATATGGGACAAGTCAGTTACTGTACATTGCCTGATTACAATAAGAGAATAAAGTTACAATACTTAAAATTGTTTACAACAGATTACAGTAGATTACAATAGTTAAGATTTCATATAGTGTGAGGTGAAATCCATATTAGGTCCCTTCGGCACATCGGCTTCCATATGTCCTATTGTACCTGTACTGGTGATAATGCTTATGGAGAATTTGATGGAATGAGGATTGGCAGGAGAAACCGAAGTACTCGGGGAAAACCTGCCCCAGCGCCACTTTGTCCATCACAAATCCCACTTGACTAGACCACAGCGGTGGGAAGCCAGCGACTAACCGCTTAAGCTATGGCTATCACCACCATCTGCCTTCGCTTGGAGCAGCAAAACTTTATGAGAATAGTCAATGTTCCTGCATCCATTGTTCTTACTCCTTGTGCAGTTTCTTTCCAGTTTTGAAAGTGGCCGGCTCTTGTGCAATGTTCTGACATTCGTTTTTTGAATCCTGATAGAAGACCCGACTGTTCGCTTCATGATCTCCAGCCCAATGGTTTTCGTGAACATCCTAATGAATTCCCTCTCCTTCCTCAGGGAAGGTCCCTACAGTCTGTTATACCTGCACTGTCCAGGCAGCTCCTAATTTCGTACTTATTCTTCTTTGTCGGCCATTCCTGTACGACTTTCAGCTTCTTGGTGGTTACCCCCTCAGGTGAAAATAGGCTCAAGATACCGCACTGCCTTCTGAATATTTGGCACTCCTCTGGATGGAGCATTGGCAGGCTTCTCAAACCACTGGAACTCTTTCCATGGGTTTCACAATTGCATGTGGAACATGTGGCCAATCTAGATCACGTTGTCCAGGTACACAAGACATGACTCGTGAGACCTCTGAAAACAGTCTCCATTAACATCTGAAATGTCACTGGAGTGCTGCAGAGTCCGAAGGTCATAACCACGAACTGACACAACCCTTGACCCTTCCTGAATGCAGTCTTCTCCTTGTCAGGATGCAGATCCATCTACCAATATCCATTCTTCTGGTCCAAATGGAGAACCAAACCGAGGCAGTGGGAAACAGTCCTTCCTTGTGACATCATTACTTTCCTGTAGTCTATGCAGAAGCATATACGAGAATGAGAGGGGATGACAACGGGCTGTCTGACTCTTTAATAAACCCATGTCACTGCATATCCTCAAGCATCTCACACACATCATCTGTTTTGCCAAGGGTTGCCCCTCGAGGATTAAATTTCGCTGACAAGCGATGGTCGCTCAGTCGGTACATTTCGCTTGCGGACTAAAATCACAGTTTATTTTTTTGTTTTTCCATGCCAAAATGTTATGAGCAGGACAAGCTAGTGAGGAATGAGTCAGTGGCAATCAGGCCTATGACTGTTCAGCTGACTAACTGCAGTTTTAGAGTAGTTACATAAGTTAAGGGATAACATAATGCCCTGTGACCATTTCACTGTTCACATGTCTGCATACAAAAATGGGGACAGAAAGCAGGCTGCATTTGTGGCTTGTGTCAAGACTACAACCTCTTTAACCCACAGAACAGAATTCCACGTCTATTCATTCAAAAGCATAACTGTTTATACCATGTCCAACACTTTTATGACATACCTTATCACATTCTTCCAACACAGTCATAGCAAGAAACACATACATTGACATGCCACAAAGGTAGAACTGCCTTGCCATGCAGTGACACCATTATCTCATTAACTATTTACTACTGACTGTTTAGGTTATGCCTTTTGTTGACAGTACTCAGGCATTCTGCCTTAAAATGGTTTTGTCTTGCTTCAATAAATACTGGCATAAACTTAATTTCTTCTTTCTGAGCAAATGCAATAACTTTTTGTTATGTTCATGAAAATACTCAGTGTATCAGACATGATATATCAAATCTGAATCGGTGAGCTATATCACAATTTGAACAAGTGAAAAGGCACAAAGTTCCCTGTCCCATGTGTTCACTGCAGCTTAAAAGAAAACTTAACATCCATACCCTGTGATCAGCAAAGTTCCTGGGTCAGGGATGAAACCAAAACTTTAGAGGATGTGATAATGTGCTGCCTGGCCATGGCTTTCACACACCTTAGAAGACCATGACAGATTAAGAGCAAAGCAGTGCTACAATGATCAGTGGCAGGGAAAATCCATAGAAACTTGAGGGGTAAACCTCCTCTGGCACAACTTCATCCACCATGAATCTTACATGAAGTCACCCAGGACTGAACTTGGAGACTTTGCTGTGAGAAGCCAGAATCTAACCACCTAACCTACGGAATGGCATGTCTGACTGCTTATACAGTATATTTGGTCACTGCCACTGACGATGTTAGGAGATTGAAAGCATGAATATGAATAGCAGGAGATACAGGGCAACCTCAAGAACAGCTTCAGTATTCTAAAATGAATTATTTTAATAAGACCCTTTTCCTTACAGCTAATACAAGATAATAAGTGGTTCAGAACATCAAATAATATTGGATAGAACACCCAGAATGTGACATGAAGGTCTCCTTAAATCACCCTGACCTCTGGCAAGGGCACACTTGCTTCTTCAATGGATAGATTCTTTGCCGTGATTGGTGGCAGGTCTTGGATACCATCCTTATTGATCAGCTGAACTTTGAAATTAGGCAAGTTGACAACAAGTCTCTTGTGAATTTCTCTCACACATTTTTTCATTAGTTCATAAGCTTCTTCCTGACTCATGTCTGTAAATAGAGGGCCTTGGTTAAGACAGAATGAGATATCAAGAGAAATCAAAATGTAACACAAACATACTTAAAGTAAACTACGGTGAAATGCCAACAGTTGGCTGGCTGCTACACTTTCTTTGTGTTAGGCAGATCCTGGGTTCAATTTCTGGCCCACAGTTCAACTATCCTGACATGATTTTCATAATTTTCCTTGGGGTACAAAACCATGTAATGCTTCCTACCATTCTGTCCAGAACCTTTTGTCTCCCTGTCTGTTGTCCAAAAACATAAAAATTAAGAATATACAAAACTATAATCTTGCCAGTGGTTTTGTATGGGTGTGAAACTTGGTCTCTGACATTATGGGAGGACCATAGACTGAGGGTGTTTGAGAACAGGGTGTTGAGGAGAATATTTGGATCGAAGACGGATGAACTGACAGGAGGTTGGAGAAAACTGCATAATAAGGAGCTTCATAACTTGTACTCTTCTCAAAGTATAATTACAATGATCAAGTAAAGGAGGATGAGATGGGTAGGGCATGTAGCATGAACGGTGGAGAAGAGGAATGCATATACGATATTGGTGGGAAAGCCAGAAGGAAAGAGACCACTGAGAAGACCAAGGCATATGTGAGTGGACAATATTAAAATGGATCTTAGAGAGATAGGATGGGATGGGATGGATTGGATTGATCTGGCTCAGGATAGGGACCAGTGGAGGGCTCTTGTGAACACAGTAATGAACCTTTAGGTTCCATAAAATGCTGGGAAATCCTTGAGTAGCTGCAGATTTTGCTTCTCCTCAAGAAGGGCTCAGCTCCGTAAGTACAAAACCATAATTTAATAATGCTTTAATTAGAATGAAACAGAACTGATTAGCTTCTGTTTTCAGTCATTAGTACATCTACATCTCATTTCTCACTGACAATCATAAATTATGGCTTTTATAATTCAAGATATTTCCTGAATGATCAATGTGTTCCTTATCATCTATGCCCATTCCACCTAAGGGTTCTGTTCCTGGTAAGAGTATCAGAACACTTCAGTTCGTCATATCCAAAATGAATCTGGGGAATGACATAGCTGCTTATCTAATGGTCTTATGAAATTTCCTTACATGGTGGCCATATGCCCTTAAGACATTGTGAAGATGCAGGTTAACTTACCTCTGTATTGTGTCACAGAACTGACTAGTATGTAAGCATGTATGAATTCTCCATTACCTGACTTGTGGTGTCTGTCCATGATACTAAGGGAAAAGAAGCCTCCATATCCATGAGCAGCATACGGTACTTTAACCATCGATGCTAAATAGTCCACAAAGTACAACTCTGGACCTGTTTCATCATTGTAGCCCGCCAAAAGCAGATTGACAAAGTAAGGAGTCTGCAAGCCAAATACACGATATATATACTTGTCTTCAAAAGACTAAAGACATTTGCAGTAAGTTCATAGATAAATAATGGCAAGACTGTGTTTCCATTTATCCATCTGCATGAGTAAAAGTATCCCTGGAACAGGCTGTGGAGGCCCATAGGGTTGTGAGATGTTGAGGTTCCACATTTTCTAGACAATCGGCTCACACATGGCGGCAAGGTTGTCAGTCCTATGCACCGGCCACCCTTTACCCCCAAGAATATTCCTGGTACTCATTTCTGTTAGAGGCTGAGTCGACCCCAGGGCCATAGTGTGGCAGGAAGGATCAGGTCAATTGAAAAAATCCAATGACCTCATATTTGTATGAGTCATCCCTGAAAATATTTAATCGCTTCTGACAAAATTTGGTATTGTGGGAATAACACCAAAAGCTGTCATGTAAAATTTATTTTAGTATACGTAAGTCTAACACCATCAATTTTACACAAAGCTCTGATCAAACTTGATCAGTCAGCAGAAGAACGACAAATTATGTAGCCTATATGAGGGGGTACTCAAAATAAACTGAACTTATTTTTTTAAACTTATTTATTCAAATTTTAAGCATAAACCTTCAATCCCCTTCAAAGTACTCTCCACTTACACTAATACACTTGTCTAGTCTTTTATTCCATTTTTCAAAACATTGTCTAAATTCATCTTTTGAGATGCTTGACAGCGCCTCCGTCGTTTTTTCCTTCCACGTCTCTTTTCATTCAAGGAAACAAAAAAAAAGTCGCACAGGGCAAGGTCGGGTGAGTATGGAGGGTGAGGAGCAGGGATCATACAATTTTTGGTCAAGAATTGTCGTACAGACAGGGCTGTGTGAGCAGAGGCATTGTCATGATGGAAAAACCAGTCACCTGACTGCCACAAATCTGGCCGCTGAGCTCCAAGTCACTCCCGACAGCTCCACAATTTCTTCAATGGTCCGTCATCAATCTTCCTTGATGATTTCACGAATTTTTTCAACATTTTCATGTGTTCGGGCTGTGGAAGGACGACCAGAACGAGGTTTGTCATCAACTGAGATTTCACCATTTTTGAAACGGGAAAACCACTCAAACACTTGAGTTTTCCCCATAGCATCGTCCTTGTACACCGTTTTTAACATTTCAAGAGTTTCTGTTCCACTTTTCCCAAGCAAAAAGCAGAATTTCACCGCCGCACGCTGTTCACGAAAATCGGCCATTACAAAAACGACGATCACACAAAACAGTTGTCACTATAAACTCTGCCAAAACTAGTCCTTACCTTCTGAAGCAACGGTAGTTGGCTTATCGACTCAGGAATGTTAGCTCTATGCGCTCATAGCAGCAAAACGCGGTACTACAAAAGCTCTGCCCACAAAAAAATTAGTTCGGTTTCTTTTGGGTACCTCATCGTATAATTTTCACTGTTCTATTTCTTCCTCTTTCATAGGAGTAAGTATTCTCCTGTGCATGGAATATTTCTTATAATGGAGAACTATTAGATCTCAGGAACTATATTTGTACATCCCTTTGGTACAGACCTTTCTATAGTAAGTTTATATGCAAATATTAATTTCTCACCCGGCTTCTAAGGTAATCTGCCAAATTTCGACGGGTGAAGTTAGCTGCAGCATTGGGAGAGAGTTCATATCCATTCCTCATTTTGTAAAGTTGAATATTTTTGGCAATGTATTCAGCAAACTGTGTTGTGTCTCCAGACTCACCAGATATTGCCATAACTAACTTATCTGAGATCTTGTGCAACTTATCTTCATCTATAATATACAGGAAACATGAGAGATAAAAACATAAATGAAAGTCATGCACTTTCAATGGGTATGTAAAGTACATGCTTCCATGTACATACACACTGTTCCTCTAGTTTAACTGGTATTTTAAGCATTGTTCATGGAGGACGGAGAAATCAGGTATGAATGTATGGGCTGAATTCAGCTGGCTCAGGTGTTTTGTGGGGTATATTGGACTTTCAAGAACATGGTTAAAAATTCTAGGTCTATAAAAGCAGGGAGTTAACTATATAAGTAAATAGCTTGTTAAGATTTGAGGTTTTCACAGCGGTGACTACAAAGAATGCCGTCTTCTGGGATGTGGTGCAATGTAGATCATGTGAACCAACATTCCTCCAAAATGTCAGTTCACACAATATCCCACAAGACAGCATTCTTCAAGTAAATATACTCTAAACGATAAATGATATATACTCCGTCTCAAGTGCAAACAATATATTCTGTCTCTTCTGTGTGCGTGCCGCTGCTATTCTTTACTATGTGTGCTATGTGTGCACACATAGTAAAGAATAGCAGCGGCACGCACACAGAAAGACTACACAGGATAACACCTATACAGTGTGGAAACAAGAACTAGCCGCTGCAGCACTTCAAACACAGGGCGAATAACCCTAACAATTTTAAAAAATTTTAAAATTTGGACAAGAATTTAAAGGTTTAAAATTTGAACTAAAGATTTTATTATGGTGCTATTACAATAAAGTTAAATTAATGTGTGTGAAGTAATCTACGGGTGGACAGCTATCAACGAAGTAGAAGTTGATAATGACAGGGAGAGTGTTTTAGATGTTAAATTTTGAACTGGGTGCAGTGTGACAGCGACGTGTTATACACCTGATGATGGCCGTCTGAGGCCGAAACATGTAGTGTAGGGAGCAAGATCAAAGAGACAGAATATATTGTTTGCACTTGAGACGGAGTATATATCATTTATCGTATGGAGTGCAACAGGATGCTTAAATATAATATTGTACATATACTCTTTTCAAAGATAACTCTGTACTGGCTCTGGGGCTCACCCAGCCTCCTGTTCTGTAGGTACTGGGAGCTCTTTCCCAGAAATACAGTAGCTAAGGCATGAAGCTGACTGCTTCCCTTCATCTCATGATATGGTTAGGGACACGTGGAAGTATACCTCCACCTCCACTATCCCTCTTTATGGTATGGTCCTTAATTAGTTAAGTACTGAGAAAATTGTACTTTTGCTTTACTTTGGTCTTATTGCAATGCTCAGCTACTGCTGACTGCTGGTTTACTGGCGTGGTGTCACTGATATGTTGCAGTATTCTATGGATTATGTCACAGCTCATTTGCCCAATGTACACTCTACCCCAGGTTCTAGGAATGTTGTAAATGCTGAGTGCTTTGTCAAGTATTATTAGTCCTTGATTTGTCTACGTGGGTCATCATGTTGTTCAGATGTTTATTAATCTCTCCCGCTCGAGTTGCCTGGCAATATGAGCTGTTCTTTGGATGTGACATACATCTTGCAGTCTCACACCACATTCATCTGGGCTACTCAAAAACTAGAATTCGTACCATTCATGAACTATTCAACAACATATGCCTTCAATTATGAAGGTCAAACAACCTCTGACAAAAAACCTCGCATTTTCAAGTTTTCTTCGTCTACAGAAAACTGTGCACCAGTTATCCCAACACCACTTCCAGTTTATGACCATCAGAGACAGCAGCTAGACAACCAACAATCAGTAACCGCTAAACATTCCATCAAGAATGGGAATATGAGGGGTTGCACTAAAATGGTTTCAAACACATCTAGAAAAAAGAGAACAAAAAGTGGAAATCACATATAGATGTAGAGAAGCTAATGTAAGCATTAACTATCTATCTCAGAGTAGACCCATAAGACATGGAGTCCCACAAGGTTCTGTTCTTGGACCAATTTTATTTTGCTATATATTAATGATCTAGAAGCAGGTATTGAACAAGGAAAACTAACGTTTTTTGCCGATGATATAAGTATTTTTATATCAGGAAATAGTGTTAATGTTGTCCAAAGGAAAATAAATGCAACAATAAATAAACTCACAGAGTGGTTTGAAAATAACAGATTAATTATTAATAAAGAAAAAATGATAGCAATATCCTTTCACCAACCACAAAAGAGACAACCAGAATGCCCATCAATAAAACTATATGATAAAGTCATCAGTTATACAGAACATACAAAATTTTTGGGAATGTGGTTAGACAAAAAATTAAGGTGGTCCACACATACTCAAACACTAGCAAGTAAGTTATGTAAAATATGTTTTGGCTTACGAATAGTCAAAAAAGTATCAGGATTAGAGACAGTTCTCGCTTTATACTATGCGTATTTTCAATCCCTGCTATCATATGGATTGATATTCTGGGGCAATTCAGCGAATGCAAAATTGATCTTTAAGATACAAAAGAGAGCTATTAGAGCTATAATGCAAATACAAAAAACCACCAGCTGCAAACAATATTTTAAATTGTTACATATATTACCTCTACCATGTTTGTATATATATGAAATATTAGTTTACATGAAATCCAACTTGAATGTTTTCATTACTAATTCAGCAGTACACTCACACAATACAAGAAAGAAAGACAACTTATTCATAGTTCCATGTAGGACGAGTATGTGTAAAAACAACTTCAATAATATTGGACTTCGTCTTTTAAACCACTTGCCACAATATATAAAAGATATACCAGCACTATATAAATTTAAAAAGACTTTGAAAACATTTCTACTTGAACATTGTTTTTATAGTATAGATGAGTTTTTCTTGTTTGGGGATAAACCCTAGTTAACATCAATATGACCAGATAATTCAAGAATAAGTGACTTGTTGAGCTTATACCAGCATGCTATGAATGTATACTGCGCAGTTCTCTTCTGCTTAAAGGAATCAAGATACCATGTTGGATATGTGATAGAAAGGACATCGTGTGATGGAGGGACGTCTACGTAGGCCGCTTAGAGAGAGATCGAGAATACCAGGCCATCAAGAAGGACACCAATCTGCAGCGAACATTACAGTAGCTATCCAGATCATTATTCTAAGGCCACGCCATAGCTTAAGCGATTAGTCGCTGGCTTCCCACCACTGCGATCTGGGCAAGTGGGATTTGTGATGGACAAAGTGGCGCTGGTGCAGGTTTCCTCCGAGTACTTCGGTTTCCCCTGCCAATCTTCATTCCATCAAATTCTCCACAAATAAGAATATCTAACTAATTCTAAATTGTAATCAACTGTAAACAATTGTAACTATTGTAATTTTAATCTTACTCATATATTAAATTGTTAATATTCAGAATTAACTTGACTTGTCCTATATCATGTACAATGATCTACAGTGACGAAATAAATCAATCAATCAATCAAACAAGCTAGCTGATACATGCCAAAACTTAATCAAACTTACCGTCTTTCATAACCATAATACTATGAGCATTGGTCATATCAGAAGCAATAAGAACGAAGTCTCGAAATGCAATTCCTAACAGACATTCCATTGTCGCATACACAAATGCTCAAATTTCCAAATGAAAAAACAAATTAACTTATATGCCTCAATCACCGCAAATACTTTTATTCTAATAACAATTACTCAAACCATACACCCCTATTTCTCCTACAGAATTACCAACATGACCATAATGCTGTCTCACTACAGGTCTAACACACAAGATTGGTGACTTGGAATATTCTTACGAAAGTAGGTCTGTTCTCACCGACGTAAAATATCCCACATTCCCATCAAAGATAAACAGGGATTAAATAATAATAATAATAATAATAATAATAATAGGGATATCGCACAATGTGCAAGTTTAGTCTTTACAGAATTGAGTTAACGATGTGTCTTTTGGCACACGCTAGCACATGGTATGGTTCACACTTGTTTCCACACAATGTGCATACACATTCTTCTCCTATAACGTGGTGATTTTGCACACTGCATATCCTGTGGTAGAAGCCATGGACAGCAGATCGCGTCGTCAGATGTCTAAGGGTGTAGTTTGCACATCAAATTCTCCACAAATAAGAATATCTAACTAATTCTAAATTGTAATCAACTGTAAACAATTGTAACTATTGTAATTTTAATCTTACTTATATATTAAATTCTTAATATTCAGAATTAACTTGACTTGTCCTGTATCATGTACAATGATCTACAGTGACGAAATAAATCAATCAATCTATAAATCACATCCATTCGGTGTTACTCATGGCGTCGGTGCAGTAGAACTCTGACCATATTTCCTTCCTCTTAGCATTTAGCCTCTGTAGAAGGGGTAGAAGGTCAGCATAGGCCGCTGTATTTGGCAGCAACAGTTTTTGACCTATATCCTCAATGGCACATGTTTCCCTGGCTAGTGCGTATGTCAGGCGGCAGGAGGTGTATTTCGAGAGGCACATGGCTCGATTTAGAAGGGTTGATTTGACTCTTTCTACGTTTGTAAGGTTCCTTTTGGTGAGGTCCCAGATAATTTCTATGCTGTATGTCAAGAGTGACAAAATTTTTAGGTCGAAAAGCTTCATAGCAGTCGTCATTGATAATCGCTAAGATTTTTTATTCCGTGCGAAGCAACTATTGCAGATGCTGCTCTTTCTCTGACATGGTTCGTGAAGTTTCTTCCATTCATTTGAAAGGTGATCCCCAGATACTTATATTCGGTTACGAGTTCCAGAGACTCTTCCCCATAGAGAATTCTGTCTGTAATAGCTCGTCTTCCTCCCTAACTGAACGTTATCATGGCTGTTTTTGTTATGTTCAGAAGCAGTTCGTTCTTGTCGGCCCATTCTATGACATTGTTGAGGGCCGACTGGAACTTTCTACTGATTGACTACGAGCACCATGTCATCCGCGTATGCGTAGAACTTGACATTTTCTCATTCTGTATTGCTTTTGTGATGTCCGCAGTGGCTGTTATAAACAGCAACGGGCTGAGGGCGTCTCCTTGGAGTACTCCGTTCGTCTGTTGTAAAGGTTGTGATTTGGCTATAGTGTCGTCAATTTGGATGGATTTTTTTTTCCAATACAATTCTGAGAAGTTTTGTGGTGTAGTTTTTGCCAATTCTCTCCTCCAGCTTCTCGATGGTTCTCATGGTTCTCTTGATGAGGTCAAACGCTTTTGTATAATCTATAAAAACTGCATGCAGTTTGCCCTTGGGTGTCTTCGCCCCTCTTCGATTTCTTTTTCAGACAGCTCGCTGCTTGCAGAGTCGATCGTCCTCTTCGGAAACCGAATTTCTCATCTGGTAGTGTTTTCTCAGTCATCATGTAAAGTCTCTTCGTAAGGATGGTCGACAGGAGCTTGAAAGCAGTGCATTTCAGTGCTATTCCCCTGTATGCATTTGGGTCACTGACTTCACCTTTTAATTTGTATAGGACTTTCAGAATTACTAGATGCCTAGCGGCCGGTATCTTTCCCTGATTCAGGCACTTGTTGAACAGATTAATCCACACTCCTTTCAGAGTTGGGGTGGTATCTTTCAAATGCTCATTGTATATTTGGTCTGCGCCCCACGCCTTTCGGTCTTTCAGTTCCTTGAGTGCCTTATCCACTTCTATTGTAAAGAGTTCCCGATTTATATCTGTGCAGGGTTCCAGGTATGTTTCATTTGGGATTAAAGATGAAACATTTCTTCTCCAATTTTCTCCGTAGCCTTAGTGAAACAAGCACACCAACATAATTCAACCTTGGCACATAGGAATACCTCATACATACAGAATAAACGTGTTTGCAGTACATATAGTTCTTTCGGATCTAAGAGAATATTCAACGCTGTGTGAAACTTAATTCAAATATGAAGAAAGCAGTCTTCTGGGATTTGGCACCGTGTATATGTGGTGTTAACCGACGTTTCGGAGGAACGTATCGCCCCCATCTTCAGGGTTGAAGAAAAAGTATAAGTAAATCTGCAAGCGACAACACCGTAGGACACGGTAAAGCAGACTGAGGATATACCGTTAGAGCAGAGAGGGAAGGGGGTGAACTGCAAAAACAAGTGAAAGCAGTGGTGTGGGAGGGGTGGGGGAAGGGAGCCGGGACAAGCGAGATTTTGTGTAGGGGAGAGTTTAGCAAGGTTAACTGGCTGGGCTTTA